GCTGGTTTTGCGAAATTCCGAACTCTAACTAGTTGGCCCACGAAAGAGGCGGGGACACGGCTTCCTGATTTTCCTGTCGGCGCGACGTCGCGTCGACTCGAGCCGAGTCGAGTCGAGTCGAGTCGGCTCCACCGCGTCCAAACGAATTAACACGTCCAGTGCCGCTGTGAAATTTGCTTAATAACCAGCTCGACGCCGAAGAAACACTCGAAACGTTCGCGCAAAGGCCACGGAGTGCTTTGCCGATGGACTTCAACGACACCGTAACGAGGAGATCAGATTTTGGACAGATTACGCGCGTACAGTAATGTCTCTCTAATTGACGCTCAGATTGTACACAAGAATGGACAATTTGGTGAAAGCAGATACGATTATTCGAGCCTCGCAGTTTGTTTTTATAGTGCTTTACAATTCGTCACGATCACCGCAACAAATTTCTTTTCTCCCAGCATCGTATAGTACTCGCCAGGACGAACAATGGTCTCAAAGGGTCACCATGGGTCGCCAGTCTTAGCATCGTTCCCATTTAATCGTTCATCTATGACGGTTTTCTATGTATTTTCGTGGCAAACGTAATTCTTGCCATATCTTCGACAGCTCAGAAAAATCGTGTACAACCCGAGGACGCAAATGGGTCAAGCCTGCACGCCGAAACTGCTGTAACTATGTCGCCGAGCCACGAGCCGAGCCTATTAACTTCGCATTTGGAGCATCGAACCCCTTCGGGAGGCTTTCGTAGCGGCGGCGGCGGCGGCGGTGGTGACACTCCGCCAGCAGAAAAATGATTCGTAGTTAAGCAGCCGAATCTCGCGATGCTCGGGGATAACATAGTCATGTTTCCTAACTGAGGGATATGAAAGTCAGGCTCCTCGAGGAATACCGGAGCCGAAAGGGTCGGATAGATATTGCGAGAAGTGATTTATGCGAGAAGCGCGAGGCTGCATATTGCTAGCAAAGATCCGCATATAGAGTTCGCTCCGCGATGTCAGTATGATCGAACTCGTAGTCGTAGTCGTAGCGTTAGTGGTGGTCCCGCGGCGATGGTGGTGGTCGTGTGCCTCGTATAAGGTACACACGCACACGACGCACAACTCCGCTCGGAGCCACGGCGTAGACCGTAGACCGTAGACGGTTCCTTTGCCATAGGGGTTTGAAACACTGCGGGTACCGCTACTAATACCTATGCCAATATCCCTCCGGGATATCCCCGCTCTCTTTCCTCCACTTACATCCATGGAAATTCCATTTGCGGTCTCCTCGAATCGGCCCCGAACGGCTCAAGGTCGAAACAGATCCTCTTTGCACGTTGGATAGTCAATCACTGCGATCTGCGGCTCCTTTTTTTCGCTCTAATTAACGATCCAAGCATCGAAATATTATTTAGATTCGACGAAACCATAATCGATTCTTCTTTCGCGTTCGATCATTCTCGTCGATCGTTTTGACAGAATCTGTGACTCGCGAACGCTGCGAGTCGGTACCACGCAAACTCTGTGATTTTTTTGTCAAGAGCATCCGTCGATTCGAAAATTTCGATTTCAATAAAAAGAGCAAGTTTCGATAAAAGAGCAAGTCACGAACGATTGCTTCGATAAATCGCCGGAGAAGGCAGCATCAGCTTTTCAAATGGCCGTTTACCCTTTCATTTTCTGCGCCGACTGCTCGAGCACTGTTGAAGACGGAGGCGCGGCTCGGGCCTCGAATTATCCGCGTCGTAAATTTTCAGACGGTGCCAAGCGATGCTTGATATCTAAGCTCCGCGCGCTCCGCGTCCTGTTCCGGTTGTATTTCAAATATTTCCATTTCACGTGTCGCCACGTTTCGACGAAAGCCGGAACATCCGGTAAACGTTCGCAAACCGGGCAAGCCTATTTTCGTTTACATAATCGTCGAGCGCGAATAACGCTCGAACGAAAATGCCAGCGCGACGAAAGATAAAGATGCGCGCTAGAACGGAATCGGCGGGAGCCGCGATCTCAACAGATCCGGACTGCGCATCTTTATGCATTTACGGCGCACACACGGGTTCTCTATTAATGCAAATGGAAGCTCGCCGAGTGAATTTTTCAGAAGTTTGTGTCGTCTGTTCCACAATATTTTCATTCGCCGTTTTCATTATTCATCGCAGCTGCATCCTCTGGCAGGATCCTCGGCCAAATCAAAAAGACCGAGGCTCCATCGACACGAAAATTCTAGCTAAAAATCCGACAGACACGTTCGTCGCCCAGCCGTTACCGATCTTTCGGGTCCTAGAACGTTGCTGCCTCCTGATCTACGCGCGACTCCTGCAGCATCCAGTTCACCGTCACCGCTCACAGTTCCGCTTTAAAAATTCTTTTAGACTTTCTTCCTCGACGTTCCCATTTCACTTGGTCGCTGTTACCGTGTACTTTTCTCTTCGAATCCGACTGAATAATGCAACCATTACAGGGTATTCTCTCCGCGGGTACACCGTGCACTCTGTCGCGCCGCGAGTCGGCTCCCTAAACATCGACGAACGAGCAGCATCCGTTACAGTTGATTCCATCTTCGCGGGGAAAACGCCCGACGCACCCCAGCAAATGATAAGTGCGCGCGTCAACCAAAGGATTACTCTGATATCTTTTCTCTCTCCGTGTTCCCTTATTCTCTCACTTTTAGCAGACCCGGGCAAAAATCTTTCAACTAAGAAACACAAATATTGCACAAATATTGTATTATAAATAGTCGTTTATATATTTCTGTGTCAAACGAAATATTAGTTTAAATAGTTCATTGATTTTTCAAATATATGATATGCATTTCAGATATATTATATTTTACAATAACCTGAAATAGTTCATTGAAATAAATAGTTTCCTTATTCTGCCAAAACAATTATATTTCATACTATGATTTAGTAAAATAAAAATATTTCATTCGATGACAAACAATGTTTAAATATCTTAAATACTTGATATACATTTATGAAATTAATCGAGTGTTTCACCAAGGACTTCATTTAATACAGAAATCAGTTATTATTTCAAGCATACGTAACACTGTTGAAGGAAATGGTATTCGCAAATATTTGTATTTCTTGGACTATTTTTACCCAGGTCCGCGTGTGAGGAAACCATTATTTAAAATAGTATTCCAAATATTTTCTCTATAAATATTCTCCGTCTTTTTCCATCAGTCTCTCCATCTCTCTCTCTCTCTCTCTCTCTCTCTCTCTCTCATGTTCTCTCTTTCTTTCTCCTTCTCATTTACTCTCTTTTGGTTTCTCTCGTTGAGCCACCCTCTCCCTCTTCCTCTCTCTCGTTTTCTTTCAGTCTTTCTCCGTCTCGTTTTCCAGTTCCATCTTTCCCGGCGAGTTTCTCTCCCTCTTTTTACGGAACAGCAGAAATACTCGCGCCCGGGGACCTTAAAGTAGAAACTCTCAAAGGTTGTAAACGAAGGGGTCGAGATCCCGGGGCTCGTGTGAACCTGGCTGTGAGAAAGCGGGCGCGGGGGCGGGTGCAGGGGTGCCGGATCAAGGGGTGCTTCAGTCTCGATAATGAAATGGATGCCCTCGGGTGCGAGCGGTCGTAGCAACGCGTAGTGTGAAACCCATTCGCAAATTAACCTTACTTATTCATTAACGCTAACGACCTACCATCATTGCCTTCGACGTGCCCGGCCTTCCTCCCGCCGACCGCCCGCCGCCCTTCCGAACACCGCCAACCCCGGACGACGTCCTCGCCCCAGCATTCTTCGACGATTCTTCCTTTTTTTTTCGTCGTGCCCGCGGAAAATCTATCGTTCATCGACTTTTCCCGTGCTCCCTTTTCTCTGTTAACCCTAACAGTCGGAAATCGGCGAATTGGAGCTGCTTCCCTTCGCTGAACGATTTTCGTTCACATCTATTTATCGTAGAACGCGTTGTTCAACGACCGAGAAGAGCAGCTTTCTCATGGAAACCGAACTGTGCGCGCCGAGGAGTTTATTTAGCAATTTTCTGAAACATCTTTTCGAATGCATGCACCGAAAAAACGATATTTTTCTAAAAGGTGATGAATTTTATTCGGCAAAAGAACGGAAGAAATTAAACTGTGTTAAGAAACTGTAATTGTAGACAGAAAGAAAAAAATCGTAATGGCAGGGTTTCAAAAAGAATATTTTTTAAATTATAAATAAGTATTACAACACAATTAAAAATTCCAAATTCGATATCATTACAAAATGTCTCTCTCTCTCTTTCTCTCTCACGAAAAATGAAATATATATTGGTTAATAATAAGTAGTAGTTAATAATAAGTAGTCGACTTCGGTAGTCGTATGGAGGATGAATCGCCATTTTCTTTCTGAACCGATTCCCGCCAATTCGAACCAACATGGCTGCCGCGAGAAATCAGTTCGCGCGCGCGCGCGCCACAAGGAAAGATGCAAGGCAGAAAACCCCGTATACTCCACGGTGTATGCTAATGCCGGGTCCAAATATACGGTGTGTTCCCTGTCTACAAGCTCGCTGCATACACGACGTAACAGAATACAACGTCTATCAGCATCCGACGAAAATGGGGCCATTCGCGTGCCAGTTGCGATCGTAAAATCTCACGGTGTCTCTGGCGGATATGAATTCTCGAAGAGCTGGCTAACAACCATCCGCGACCGTGCGCGACTTTAATCCGACGTGAATCAACGCGAAACACCATATATATATATAAATTCGAGAATTGATAATATAACTATTTTGCACTACTGTGCAATTACACGCAATTTTCCATCTACGCGCCAAAACGGTCGCCGAGCTAAGGCTATAGACGTAGACCGCCCTTTGAATCCGAATTTATGTGAGAAATTTAGGCGAATAGCTGTTCCCGTTTACATATTTCGAATCAGCATGCAAGAAAATACAATCACAGAATATCTTTTCCTACCTTACACGCCACTTGCCCGGAAAATACAGGAAAATCTTCCACGGTGCAGCTCCCGCGTTCGCACCCTCTTGAGCACTCCTAATTCAAAATGGCGCCGCCGTGTGGCGCACTCGCTGTGCGCGCCGATCGCGCGATCTGTTCGCGAGTCGGAGCGGTCGGAAGCACATCGTCATTGGAAGATCGTCGCAGGAGCGTCTCACGGCATTCAAAGGTAACTTGAATCTCGCGTAGAAATACAATCCGCGAAAATGACAGCTTCAGCAAACGTTCTTTGTCTTCCAGTTCTAAATTACACGCACGTCAAGTTTCGGTGACACACGATCTTCCGACGGGAGCCGCGCTTGAACAGGTTAGAAACATCTCGACCGACCGACTCGCAAGTTATCGCGGCGCGTTTACAAAAACTGCCCGTGGTAAGTGATAATTATTGTTTTCTCGTTCGGTAAAGTTTGTAGAAAATAAATAACGTACGTAGACGAATCTCAGGAAATTTCTCTATTCGATCAATTAACCTTTCGCGAGTGATGTAAATACGGTAAAAGACTCTCGATCGCTCGTAACCTGTAACGCGCGTGCGCGGCGCCGCTTCTGGCGGGACGGCTCACCAATGTCTTGTTAAATAATTGTTGCGACGATTTTAAGTGTAGCGTTCGATTTTGAAGAAACGGGTTAGATTCACGCGACGAGCGTCTCGGGTTTTCGCGTGTTTAGTGATCGGTTGAAGCAAGAGGAACTGGAAGAGTGAGGTTAAGTGACAATATGCTAACTAAACACCGAATGCGATGTCACACGGAATTACAGAAGTCGATTGGTAAGTCACTTGTAAAATTATATTATGAATTGTAAAATGAAATTGCGAATTGCTTATTTGTTTATGCCTTTCAGAGAATATTTACCGAGGATAAATTGATTTTTTAAGGCTCGCTGTAGGCGATAGGAATCTTGGCCGTCGCTAGGTAGCTTATGATCGATGTGGCAGGAATCATTGTACAGAATTGGCTGTCCATACTCGTTCAAGGTGTTTTAATTGAGAGTGGTTAGTGAGGCTGTGAGCTTGATTCAATGTTACACGATGTTAACAATCGAACAGGAATTCGATTGTTACAATAATCGATGTCTCACAATTTTGACAAGGAGGATCTGGAACATCGCAATGAACAATAGTACAAAGTTTTATATTATACAGGATAACTATAAATAGAATGAAATATGTAAGTTCGACTGAAAATAACTAAGCAATAAAATGTTGAAGTTGTAGGATGAAATTGATGAATTTTTTGATTTTATGATTTTAATTTCACCCAAATTTGTCCAATCCACATTTTAATTATCCCAACAATCAATGTTGCACAGGTCTCATCGAGGATATTGCATTAATATGCAACGAAAAAATTCGATCAAGGATAAACGCGCAGGTTCCACCAACGAATTACCAACGTGAACAATAAATCTAGTTCAGCAGGATTTCGAACGTTAGATATGAACGTTGGATTTCGGATAGCTCGGCGATCCTAATGATGCATACATTTACGGTACAATGCGTCCCAGAGATTTGATAGCGAAAAAGTAGAACAGCCGTCGTAATACGAATTGTTGGAACGATTCTTTCGTGCAGCAGTGTTTCTCTTATAGCCTGACTATTACGATCGTTTGTATTCCTCGTAAAGCGACCACTGAATAGCAAAGAGTTTAAGAAAAGTGGTCATCCATTGAACTGGATGACGGTGAAACGTGACAGGGAAAATGTCCCCCGAGCCCGAAACGACAGTCGGTATTCCATGTCCTGTTTCCTAATTTTTTTTACTTTATACCCGGCTTGCCAGTTCGCTCCCCACAGAAACGTTTGTACATTTTTTAAATCCGCATTATCTGGTTTTTACATAATTCAACTCCCGCGGCTTTTCCCTCACTGATCGTTCGTGTAATTTGCTTGTTAACTCCTACATTATTCGTGTATTTCTATTTCCCATTATTTCTGATATAAAAAAGTATATAAATACGGTGTTCGGTTAAGTTCTTGTTTAAATATCGCTAGAAATATCAACGTTACATCGTGTCTATAATTATTCACAGCGACGTACGTGCAATACCTTTTGTTCTTAATTCGTTGAAAATAATATATCGACGTTTATGAAATGATTTGAAATAAATTGATAATGGTACCATTAGCGATACGGTGTCGATTCGACGTCCCGTCGCCACTAGTTATATTAAAACGGTGCTCGCTCAACGAGTCGAAGATTAACCCGCGAATTCATCAGCGAAAAATACTAGTTTCGGCAGATTTCGCGGATCACGCGCAGCGCATTACAAACCTCTGCGTGGCCATCGAGGCGACCACATATTTTGCGGCGTGCGGCGTGCGGCGCGGCGCATTGTAAATCACAGATCGGCAGATAATGATCGACGATTTACATTTTTCGGCCGATTCGGTATCGAGCGGTGCGCGTAGTCGTTTCGCGTGTCGTACATCGAGCGTTTCGAAAAACGCAAAAACCCCCGTCTGTTTTGTATCGAGTGCGTGGGTGGTTATGGGGTGTGGGTGTGGCACAGAGGGCGGCGAGAGAGAGAGAGAGAGAGAGAGAGAGAGAGAGAGAGAGAAGGCTCGTGTAGTCGTATCAATTCGACTAAATCGAACGGTGGCCGAGTGTTTCCACCGTGGCGAACGTTTCCTCCGTCAAATTTCGAAGCAAACGCCGTAGACTGGCTTCCAGCTTGTAATTATTCCCGGCTAATTCGCGTTTCCTCTCGTTTCCTCGTTATGGGCCTACTTTATCCCTGTCCGACGAACAGAAGGATCTCCCAGGTAGACTAAAGAATCGCGTAATCGGTCTCGTCGATCTTCGTAATCTCGAGATCTGCAGAAAAGTGCGAATCTTCTCGATTCTTCAACGACTGCTGCTGCTACCGAGTGCGAGAATTTCATTATTTTAATCATTTTCTTCCATTCGCTTCGTCTGGTTTATTTACTTTAAATATTTCAACGACGACGAACCCTATGCATTCTATTACGAATCGATGCTCCGACGTTGCAAGCGGTCTGAGGAGCCGGCACAGTGATCGAAACGAGCCTAAATGATTCCGGGGAAACACGCGATTGCCGGTAATCCGAGAAACAATCGTCCGGGATACGCGGTTTCACCGGAACCGGCCGCCGTCGCCGCCGCCGCTTTTATAAATTGAAAATCAGCTCGAATAATTAATGGATCGCACTATATTGTTATTAATGCCGGTAATATATAGTATTACATAATTACCAATTCATATGGTGGATGAATGCCGGGCACAATGTAGTCGCGCCGATCACAAATACGCGCGGCGCATGCATACTGCATCGGCTTTCATCGAGCCGGCTCAGCGAGGACGCATTAATCCGAATAAACTGGCCGACCGATTCTTTCCCGGGGATAATCGGCTCGCGATCTCTACGGTGCGGCGATCGAGAGATCGACGTTCGAAGGCGAGCCGAGCGGTTTTAGATCGACGCGTTAACGCGGTCGCTGCAGCCGCAGCCGCAACCGCGGCTGGGGGGACGTCGAACAACGAGAAACGGCTACGACGCGTTGCCACGCAGCCGGCGTACGCACAAACAACAATTAGGCACCCCGATAATAATTATTGTCGAGTCCCAGATCAATATGAATTCGGAATCGACAAGCCGTCCTCGAATTAATGTGTCTGGCGGCGGGCAACAATGCTCCGAGAGGACCCTCCAAACACGCCGTATCGATTCGCTCGCGTCGAACAACGGTCGATTGACATTTTTAAAGCGAGACCACCGCCGCCGACTATGTATTATCTCCGAGGCGACCGGCTACCTTATTATCCGACGCGAGTTGTTAGCCAATTTCCGATGCGAGATACGCCGAAGCTTTTATCTCGTTAGGATGCTGTCGGTGTACAGTGATGTCTCTCTAATTGACGCTCGGATTGGCCACGGAAATGGACAATTTCGGGAGAGGAGAGTTTATTTTTATAGTTACGAATTGTTAACAATTGCAAAAACGAGCCGCAAGACTTGAATAATCGCATCTCCTCTTCCCAAATTGTCCATTCTTGTGGTCAATCTGAGCGTCAGTTAGGGAGACATTACTGTAATTTGTTTCTCGACAATTTCAACGCGATCTTTCAAACGATTCAACCGATCGGTGTCGTAGCACCAGGGCCGAGGAGGAATAGTTCTTTCAAATAGATTACAAATATCTTGATTTTTTCTCCGGTAATAATAGTTACATATGGAAATAGCAAAAATCCCCGGAAAAAGTCTACGGAAGAGTTGAAGTTCCGCGTGTTTCCCATGGAGCCGCAGATTCGCCGGCGAGCATGTTTGGAGATATTTGAGGCGTTGATCGTGTCGAGGATCGGTGTCGCGGAGAGCGGAACACGGCTCTGGCGGCGAGTGGGTGCGGAATGGGGGGCAAGGTAGACACGTTGGAGCCGGTGCTGGTTAAAGGGACGCGGAGTCGAGTCAAAGAGAAGGTTGAAAAATTACCACCGGAGACGATGAGAGTATTTCCCTCGCCGACTTTCTCCCGCTGTTAGAAAGGACCGTGAGAAGAATGGAGAGACCGCCGGAAGAGGAGGGTGCAGCCCGCAGCGAGACAGAATCGCGACGAGACGGGACGGGACGGGATGGGACAGAAAGGTGACAGAGGGACGCGGCGAGGAAGCACGAAGACGAAAGAGAGGGAGAGACAACAAAACGGGCTGACGGAAGGAAGGGAAACGCCGGGACCCTGCGAGACTGACAATGAGACCGAGCAGAACGACACTGACAATCAGCCAAGTCTGCGGTCTCTCGCCACATTTTTTCCGTTTAAAGCAATTTTTCTGCTCGTTCTGCAACGCCGAAACCAACGTTCTCGTCACCCACGCTTTGCCGGACTCCTCCTCGCCGCGATAATTGTTTAAGATATCTTCCTTTACGCCGTTCTTAGCGGCCGTTTGCCTAAGCGCGTATCGTCGGGGCCGCCGTCAAGGATTTATTAGGAATTTTTTATATTCTTCAAGTTCTGCGTCGCGTGAGAAATGTACAAGTTTGAACAGATCAGTCGACACCGTCAGCGTTCACGTCCGCCTTGCGATAGGATAAAATCTTTCAAGTATTATCGCAGCAGAAAAACAGCAGCAGCAAAAAAATGCGCATTTTTCAACGTTTACGATTTATTAAAAATGTTAAAGATTGAAAATTAATCCTCGCAGTTGCGGTGGAGAATATTTAATTCGCAGAAGCATGTCGACGATGTAATTATCGGGCCGCTTAGAAACGCATTCGCGAGTACACTCGAGATTAAAAGCGATCGAATCGACAGCAGAAGCTGCAATAAAATGCGATCAAAGAATTATTGAAAGCAGATATCGGTCTACGAATTGTGACGGATGGAAGACGATAAAATCGAGATGCTAACGGCAACGAAGCGTTATGAAACGCGAGTTTATTAATCCATACGACGCCGTCGCGGATTCGTTAGCGCGACAACTTATTTCGTCGTTATCATTTGTATAATTAACGAATGGAGGAGCTTATCGCCAATCCGCTGACGTTCTGACAAGATTGTCAATCGAAGCTCTCTTTGTCCTGCTGTCGATTTGCTGCACAAGCCTGCTTTGAGCAAGGAACAAAATAACAGAGGATTACACCGGAGACACAATGAAATTACGATTCAATGGAAATTCTTTTTCCGTCGACGATTTCATCGAACATTCAACCTGTTCAATTTGGTACGCGTATTTTGACTGCGATTGTTATAAATTATTGTGCCAAAGTAATTATAATAGGGTATTGTACCGCAGAGTTAATTGAGTTCGCATTATGTCGAACGAATCGACGTTTGATTTTTATTTCGGATCAACGTTACAAGTTGGCAAGAAGTAACGTAATATAAAAAGGTCCGACCATATCGTGTCTTTCAAAAACAGTTATCTTTTGTTTCCATTTGAAATAAAATTCGCCCAGATGTGGCTGGGTAGCATCGTGCGTGTTGCGATGGTAGCGGCGATGGTGGTGGTGGTGGAGATGGCGGCGGTGTTGGTGTCAGTGGCAGCAAGTTTCCAGCAGCGATAAGAACTCCGCGGAGAAATTGCTCGTGATTCAGGATCCGTTTTTACGGCGCACGTCATATCCAATTAGTTCGAGCCGAGCGGTTGATATATCTTTGTCCAGACAGATTTCGAGTAATATAAGTACCGAAGCCGGCGCGGCGGTAGGATGCGCGCGCGGTGCCCCGGCAATCTCGTACCGTAATTTACTTAACTCTGACCGAAG